AGGGTTCCAATGTTGCCCTTGTTTTTTTCCAGCTGCCCACATAGCTGAAGGACTTTTTGTTGTCCTTGATTCCTGTAGCCAGTTTTCAGCCTTGGCTTTTCTGGTCCACTCCCTACAAGTGCAGGCAAGTGCTGCATAATCCTCCGTGGTGATATTTCCTGACTGACTTCCATCCCTTCTGAGCTTCTCTTTTCAGTTTCAAAAGGTCCATGAGTTCCCTATTTAGCCAAAGGGGTCTCCCGGCCCTTTTGCTACCTTTCCTACGGGTCGGAATGAACTTCCCTTGTGCTTTTAGTATCACATCCCTAAGGAGCGACCACTCATCATGTACTCCCATCTCTGTCGGATCACGATCTCTCAGGACCTCAATAACCAACCTAACCTCATGAGCTTGTGGAAACCAACTTTCCTGAAGTCGAGGATTTCTGCATTGCTGACTGATTTGCCTGCTTTGTGATGGATAGAGAAAATGATCAACTAACGATCACTGTCACCAAGCTTCCCTTCAATCCTCAGGTAGCTCACTAGGTCATCCCCTTTGGCCAGAACCAGATCTGGCCAAAGGCAGTGCCTTACAAGAGGTAAGAAGTCTATGACTTCTTGAGTCAAATAGAGCTCATCAATGCAGTGAGGAAGCTATGCGACTGATCAGATTTGGCTGAATGCTCTTCCCATAAGATGTCAGGGTGGTTGAAGTCCCCCATGATGACCATGCACCGAGAGTGCGCAGCCTGTGCTAGTTCCCTAGAGAATTTGTGGCCAAGCTCTTCCTCCTGGTTAGGAGGTCTGTAATAGTCTCCTACAGTTATATTCCCTTCGCCACATGCTCCCCATATTTTAACCCAGAGGGTCTCAAGTTGCCCTCCTTGGGTGCCAATCTCTGCTTGTAGGGAAGTGTACTGCTCCTTCACAGAGAACTATACCCCTGGCCTTCCTCGCAACACAATTCCTCCTGTGCAAGGTATAGCCATCTATACCTGTGGTCCAGTTGTAGGTGCATTCCCACCAGGTTTCCATTATCCCTATGAGATCATATTTGTTATTGTTTAGCAGAAGTGCCAGTTCCTCCTGTTTTTCCCCATGCTCCTGGCGTTTGTGTACAGGCAGCTAAGCCTGTGATTGGAAGCCCTGGGCTTCCCTTTGCCCTTAGAGTCCTTTCCTTGGGCTGGGGTCAGAGTAAGTTCCCTTATGTTACCTGACCTGCTGATTCTGTTGTTTTCACTTCCTGGGCTTGTACTGTATGATTGTCCGCCTGTGCCCCAGCAAACTTAGTTTAAAGCCTTGTCAAGCAGTTCAGCCATTCTGGCCTAGAAAAGCTGCTTTCCCACTGGGGTGAGGTGGAGGTTGTCCCTTCCCAACAAACCACTGCCCCTCTGTCTGAAGTGTGGACTGTGATCAAAGAAGCCGAAGCTTTCGCGGTGGCACCATCGCCACAGTCTTGTGTTCAGTTCTTCAGTATAATCTCTCCCTCCTATGCCCGTGACCCATAACCTGGAGGATTAAGGAGAAAACTACCTGCACCCCCAACCTTCTGAGCCCAGCCCCCAGAACCCTGTAGTTACTCATGACCCAACCGGGTTTGCTCCGAGCTATGTCTTCTGTGCCCACATGGATGAGGAGCATGGGGTAGTTGTCAGAGGGCTGGATAAGTTTAGGGATTCTCTCAGCTACACTGTGAATATGGATCCCTGGAAGGCAGCCGACTTCAGGGGCTAAGGGGTTATGGCAGAAAATGGCTCCCTCTGTCCCCCCTGTCTTCCGTGACAGCCACTCTGCATTTCTTCTTAGGGGTGGTTGCTGGTTGCCTTCCTTCCTCAAGTGCTGGAGTTGGTGGCTCTACTGGTTCTGTTGATGCTGCGAGGAGTTCATATCTGTTGTGAAGTTCCAGGGGGGTGGTGACCCTGGCACCGCATGTCTTGGGGCCGGAGATGACCTTCATCCAAGCGACCCCTTGCTGGACTTTGCAGTAGCTACTCCTGTCCACCCTCGTCCTGCCTGCCATCCGTGTTCTTCCCTCATCGTTCTTCTGATGAAGGTTTTGGAAGTGGGTGTCGATCTCCTCTTCACCATCCCTGATGGTACGCAGCCTCTGCACTGCAGCCTGGAGCTCCCTTATCTGGCACCCCAGAGACTCTATTGTAGACCATACACCACAAGGGGAGGTGTCATTGCTCCTGTTCCTAAGTGCCTGCATATGAGCCAGGCAGCGCGCACAGCTGGAAACCAGGGCTCTGTCTGAGTAGAGGCTGGAACCATGGGCTTCATCTGGGTGGAGGCCTCAGTGGTACCAAAGGGGGAGGCTCCAGCTGAAGTGGGGCGGGAACTTTAGAGTGCAATTGCACAGGTAATAGTCTGGACTACTGCTGTGCCGACCCTTCTCAAGATCACCACCTAGAGCCTTATGCCCCTCCTTCTTGCTCTCCTGCATGAACTCCCGTGCTAACTCATATGCCAGAGTCCAGAGCACAACTATTTGCGTAGTTCCCTGGTGGGGTTGGGCTAATGGGGGAGAACATAACCCTCCTCAGCTGCCTCCCACCACTGATTCTGCCAAGCCACCGCAGTCCCTGCTTACCTCCTGGCTCCATGCTGTGGGGTCGGGGTCCTCCAGAGGGTCTGCCAGGAGTCTTTAGCTCTGGGGGAGGGGGTGTGACAGCCTTCCACCTGTGTGTCTCGGTTGAGAACCGGTCTGAACTGGGTTATGGTGGGTGGGGTGGGAGGGAGAAAGAGAGAGAGAGACATGGGGTTGGGCTGCTGGCTCCATCGCGTGTGGCTCTTGCTGACTGCATGCAAGCCTCATGCAATGCAGCCAGCTAAACCCTGTGCCCAGGCTCCATGCTTCTTCTGCCCCACCCTGGGTCCTCACTGGCCCTAGGGCACCAGCACAGGCTCTGTGTCCACCCACTGCCACCACTCTCCTGCCATTTTCCCGATATTTTTCTTTTTCTTTCCTTCCTCCCGCATGCCAGCCTGCCACTACTGCTGCCACTGCTGGCATTCCCCCCACTGCAGCCACTCCCTGTGGGCTGCCCCCCATGGTTTCTCCCACCACTGCTGCTTTTCATGGCCCCTTCGGCACTGTCCCTGCTGCTCCCCCCACCACCACCACTGCTTTCCATGGCCCCCTCTGCCACTCCCTCCACTGCTACCCCTGCCGTTTTGGCTTCCCTTCACCCCCCTCCACCTGCCACTTCCCACTCTGGCTCCAGCCCAGCCCCACCAGCACCATGCAGCTTCCATCTGCTGGGTGGATCACAGCGAATTTTTTTTTCTCCTCCCCCTCCCTCTGTCCCACCTTATTTATGTTTCCAGTTGGACAGAGGGAGGGCATGCAACAGCCCCAAGTTTGCCAAGCCAGAAGCTGCAGAGGTTTCTGGTTGGGAGCTGGAGGCAGGAGGAGGGATGGGGGTGGGGAAGACCCAGCAGGCCTTGCTGCTCAGCAGCTGGGTCCTTCTGCTGGCTTCCTGTGGGTCCTGCTGCCACTGGTGCCTGTCATCTTTGACAGACAACTGGGGCAGATAAAATTAATTTTCTAAAACTTTTTAGGGTCCCCGCAAGCTGGATAGAATGGCCTGCCAGGCTGGATCTGGACTGCGGGCCATATTTTGCCCATCCCTGATCTATATATTTTCCAGACCACCTACTTCGGTACAGTATGGTGCCTTTTGTTCAAAGGAGAAAATAAGTGGCATGGCAAACACTTCTAGCTTTCAGGTCTTCTCTTCAATTTAAAAATAGTAAAATCTAACACTTGATTGATCACCAACAGGCTTTATAATGAACAGTTTACATAAAGGGATAGAATTTCTTCTCAAGCTTATTTTTGATCCTTTAGATCAGTGGTTCGCAACCTTTTTATACTCAAGGCACCCCTTTGTAACTTTGTGAATGTAATGGGACTCCATTTCAATTTTACTGATTTTTTTTTTTTTTAAACAGGAAATAATAATGACGCAATTCTCCTGTTGCAAAATACTTGAAAAGACTACAGCGAGTCAGGATGTTTTTGATGATATGGATTCTTATTTGAGATCTTTGGATTTATGTTGTGAATCACATGGAGGTATTTGCACCTTTAAGAGAAGGCTGGATGAACACGTCGCTGGGGTCGTTTGACCCCAGTACTCTTTCCTACCATGGTAGGGGGTCGGACTTGATGATCTGCTCAGGTCCCTTCCGACCCTACCAACTATGAAACTATAGTATTAATAGTGTGGCATCCTGCAATACCTTCAACAGATCCCATAGCACCTCAGGGTGCCATAGATTCATAGATGATTCATAGATTCATA